ATATCAGTGCAACATTTCCCCTTGTTCATTCAATGCCACTTCCCCTTGTTCATTGTTCATGCCACTTTCCCCTGGTTCATTCAGTGCCACTTCCTATGTTCATTCTGTGAACACATCCCCTAGTTCATTCAGTATCCCACAGTCCTTGTATCATTCAGTGCCAGCACTTACCCTTTTTTCAACACAGTATGTGCCACTTCCCCTTGTTCATTCATTGCCAACTCCCCTTGTTCATTCAGTGCCACTGTCCCCTTGTTCATTCAGTGCCACTTCCCCTTTTCATGTCAATTTCCACATCCCCTATTGATCAATCAGAGGGGGTGGACACATCCCCCTTGTTCATATCAAGTGACCCATTCCCCTAGTCATTGTCAGTGCCCCAACAACCCCTTTTTTCAATCAGTGCCCACATCCTCCCTATGCTACATTCAGTGCCACTTCCCCCTTGTTCATTCAGTGCCACTTATTCCCCTGTTTCATTCAGTGCCACTTCCCTCTTGTTCATTCAGTGCACTATCCCCTTGTTCATTTCAGTGCCACTTCTCTTTGCTCATTCAGTGCCACATTCCCTTGTTTACTCAGTGTCACTTCTTTTTTCCATTCATTGCCACTTCCACTTGTTTCATTCAGTGCCATCCCTTTTCAATATTCATGACCCACTTCCCTTGGTTCATATCAGATGCCACATCCCTTGTTTACATTCAGTGCCACGTCCCCTTGTTCATTCAGTGCCACTTCCTTTCCCCTATGTTTCATTCGTGCTACCTTCCCCTTGCTCATTCAGTGCCACTTTCCCCCTTGTTCAATCAGTGCCACTTCCCCAAGTTCTTTCAGTGTCCACTTCCCCTTGTTCATTCATGTGCCACATCCCCTTGTTCATTCAGGCCACTTTCCCCTTTTTCAATCAGTGCCACTTCCATGTTCATTCAGTGCCACATCCCTTGTTCATTCAGTGCGCACTTCCGCTATGGTTCATTGCATTGGCAACTTCCCTTGTTCATTCAGTGCCACTGTCCCCTAGTTCATTCTTAGCCACTTCCCTTGTTCATACATAGCTACTCCCTTGTTCAATTCAGTGCACTTCCCTTGTTCATATATCAGTGGCCACTTCCCCTTGTTCAGCAGTCCACTTCCCTTGTACCATTCAGTGCCACTTCATCTTAGATCATTCAGTGCCACTTCCCGCCTTGTACATATCAGTGCCACTTCCCCATGTTCATATCAGTGCCACTTTCCCCATGTTTACATTCAGTGTCACATCCCATTGCTCATTCATTGCACACTTCCCCTTGTGCCATTCAGTATGCCACTTCCCCCTTGTTCATACAGTGCCGACTGGTCCGCTTGCTCATGGACAGTGCCAACTTCCCTTGTTCATGTCATGCCACTACCCTTATCGATTCAGTGCCACTTCCCTGTTTCATGTCAGGCCACTTCCCCTAGTTCATTCAGTGCCTACTACCCCCCTTGTTCCTTCCAGTGCCACATACCCTTGTATCTTGTACAGTGCTACTTTCCCTTTATCATTAGTGCTCACTTTCCCTTGTTTCATGTAATGCCACTTCCTCCTTGTTCATTCCAGTGCCACTTCCCCTGGTTTCATTCAGTGGCCACTTCTTCTTTGTCAATTCAGTGCCACTTCCCTTGTTCATTATCATGCCAACCAACTTCCCCTTGTTCATTCAGTGCCGACCTTCTTCCCCCCTTGTTCATTCAGTGTCACATCCCAATTGCCATTCAGTGCCACTGAACCCTTGTTCATTCATGCCACTTCCCCTTGTTCATACAGTGCCACTGTCCGATTGCTCATTCAGTGCCACATCCCTTGTTCATTCAGTGCCACTTTCCCCTTGTTCATGATCAGTGCCGCTGCGTTTCCCCTTGTATTCATGTCAGTTGCACTTCCCCCACTCAATCAGTGCACCTATTCCCCGCATGTATCATTGTCAGTCTCACTTCCCTCTTCTCATTCAGTGCCAACTTCTCCATGTTCATTTCCGGTCTGCACTTCCCCCTTGTGACATGTCATTTGCCACTTCCCTAGTTCAGGTCAGTGCCTGACTTTTCCCTATGTTCATTCAGTGACCACTTCCGCAGTGCTCATTCAGTGCCACTTCCCCATTGTTCCAATTCAGTGCCACATCCCTTGTTTCAATCAGTTGCCACTTAGCCCCTAGTTCATTCATGCCATTTCCCTTGTTCAATTACAAGTTGCCACTTTTCCCTTGTTCAGTTCAGTGACCACTTCCCCAGTGTGTCATTCAGTTCAACATCCTCCTTGTACATTCAAAGCCACTTCCCCTTGTACGTTCAGTGCCATTTCCCCTGTGTTCATTTCATATTCAGTGCCACATCCCCTTTGATCATTCAGTGCCACTTCCCTTGTTCATTCAGTGCCAGCTTCCCCTTGTTCATTCAGTTTCAAACTTTCCCATGTTCATGATCAATGCCACGTCCCTTGTTCATTCAGTGCCACTATCCCTTGTTTCATTCAGTGCCACAGTCCTTATGGTACATGTCAAGTGCACTTCCCCTATGTTCATACAGTGCCACTTCCTCCTTTTTTCATTCAGTAGCCTCTTACCCTTTTTTATCATTCAGTGCACTTTCCCCTTGTACATTCAGTGTCCACTTCCCCTTGTTCAGTTTCAGAGCCGGACGTATTCCCCTGTTCATTCAGTGCCACTTCCCCTTGTTGCAATCAGTGCCCCTTTCCCCCCCATGTTCATTCAGTGCCACTTCACTTTGCTCATTCAGTTGCCACATTCCCTTATTACACAGTGTCATTCTTTTTTCCATTCAGTGCCACTTTCCCCTTGATTCATTTCAGTGCCACGGGGTCCTCCCTTTTTTCATTCAGTGGCCACTTCCCTCCCTTGTTTCATTAAATGCACTTCCCCATGTTCATTTCAGTGGCACTTCCCCTTGTTTCATCTCAATGCCACTTCCCCTTGTTCATATCAGCCACGTTCGACTTTGCTCATTCATGAGACAATCCGCGATGCACACTCAGTGCACTTCCCCATTGATCATCAGAGCCACATCCCTTGTACATTCAGTGCCACTTCTCCTTGTTCATTCAGTGCCACTTTTCCCTTGTTCATTTCATTGCCACTTCCCCTTATTCATTCAGTAGCCACTTCCCCTTGATCATCAGTGCCACTTCCCCTGTGTCATTCAGTGCCATTTTCCCTTGTTACAGTCAGTGCCCGACTTCCCCTGTTCATTCAGTTGCCACTTCCCCGTTTCTCATTTATCAGACTCACTTTTCCCCTTGTTCAAATCAGTGCCACTTTCCCCTTATTCAATCAGTGCCATTTCCCCTGTACATTCCACTGCCACGTTGTTCCCCTTGTCATTCAGTTGCCACTTTCCCCTTGTTCATTCAGTTGCCACTTTCCTCGTGTTCCTTCAGTGCCACTTTGCCCTTGTTCATTCCGTGCCACTTTCCCCCTTATTCATTCAGTGCCATTTCCCCCCTTGTTCATTGCAGTAACCACTTTCCCCTTGGTCATTACAGATGGCACTTCCCCTTGGTCATTCAGGCCACTTCCCCTTGTTCATTCAGATCCGATCTTTCCCCCGCATTTGTTCAATCAGTACCTGTCTTTCCCTTGATCATTCAGTGCCTCTTTCTTCCCTTGTTGATTCAGTGGCCCACTTCCCATGTTCATTCAATGCCACTTCCCCTTGTTCAATCAGTGCCTCTTCGCTTTGCTTCATTCAGTGCCCACATTCCCATGCTCACTTCAGTGTCCACATCCCCTTGTTTCATCAGTGCTCACTTCACCTTGTTCATTCAGTGCCACTTCTCCTTGTTCATTGCAGTTCCAACTACCCCTTGTTCATTCAGTGCCACTTTTCCCCTTGTTCTTCAGTGCTACTTCCCCTTATTTCATTCATGCCACTTCCTCCCTTGTTCAGTCAGAGCCACTTCCCCTTGTATCAATTCAGTGCCGACATCCCCTTTTTCCAATTCAGTGCCACTGTCCCCTTATACAATTCAGTGCGCACTTCCCCTTGTTCAGAACATTGCCACTTTCCCCTTGTGTCATATCAGTTAGCCACTTTCACCACTTATTCATTCAATACATTCCCCTATGTTTTCATTAAGTTCCACTTGGTCCGCCTTGATCAATGTCAGTGCCACTTCCCCATGTTCATTAAGTGCCACTTCCCCTTTTTCTTAAGTGCCGACATCCCCTTGTTCATATAAGTGATGCCACTTCCCCTTGTTCATTCAGTGCCAGCCCTTTCCCCATTCGTTTTCATTGATCGCACTTACCCTCTGATTATATTCGCCCGTTCTTACAAATACGGAATAAAACCTTTAATTAAAAAAAAGCCATCTGATAACTGGACACTTGTTCCCGTAGCTAAATGTTTTAATCAGAAATATCTTGACTTACGTGAAAAAAGTTGGCACCCGCTTACAGAGTGGCACTCCTCATTTACTTCTATATACTCAGTGGCACACTCACTTTTTACTTATTAGGCACACTATACTGTAACACCTCTAACCAGAGTTGGGATTTCACTCGTCACTTTCTTTACTCAGGCACTAATACTTAATCTCAGTGGCACCTATCCTACCTTAATCAGTTGCAGACTCACTTCTTACTCAGTGGCACCCTGCACTTCTTAACTCAGTGGCATACTCACTTCTTACTCAGTGGCACCCTCAACTTCACCCTATCATTCAGTGGCAACCCTCACGAACACCCCCTTCATTCAGTGCACCCTCGAACTACCCTTCATTTCAGTGCCACCCTCACTCACCTTTCATTCATTAGGCAACCTCACTCACCCTTCATTCGAGTGGCACCCTCACTCACACCTTCATTCAGTGTGCAACCTCTCACCTCACATCGCCTTCATTCTGTGGCACCCTCACGTCAACCTTCAATCAGGTGGCACCCTCACTCCCACCTTCATTCAGTGGCACTCTACTACCGTGATGGGCCTCTCACCCTGCAGTCTTTGGGAGACTCATCTTGGAGCGAACAGGACCCTTATCTGTGGCTAATATCAAGGCAGCTGCCACCAGCGACTCGGGAAACTACAGCTGTAGTGCCCAGGATGCACACACTGCCACCGTCCGTATCCAGGTCCTTGACGGTGAGTCCTGCACCTCCTACACGCGTCTTAAACACGTCTTATACAGGCTGTATACAGTTCCTCAACAGCTCTTGTAAACACCTTACTGTGGTACCGTACACGTCCTGTACAGGTTGTACACAAATACTAGATGGATCAAATGAAACAAGAATATACAATCAAGACATCTTTACTGAACACGTTTTGCTCCTGGGACTTTGGTATATATAGTGGAGAAAGTAGGTGAAAATCAGGCGAAGGAGTTAAGTCACCTGAGTGTAGTGTCAGGTGCCAGCAAGGAACTAGTATGTACTAGTATCATATGTATGAGGATAGTTGAAATGTTTAGATAAGGTAAAGTTTTCTTTGGATTTTTAACCCAGCAGGGTTATCCACCCTGGATAACCCGGGATAGGAAGGGAGGGTTATCCTCCCTGGATAACCCGGGGTAGGGAGGGAGGGTTATCCAACCAGGATAACCCAAGAAAGTCAGTGAGTTATCGAGGACTGTCTGTCTTATTTCCACAGTGGTCTTTCAGTCTTGTCCCCCAGGATGCCACCCACAACAGTCGACTAACACCCAGCTGCCTACATCAGTACACCAAGACTGATGTACTGATTACATCAACTCCACGCTGAGGGACTCATTACCTCAAACTCCTTCTGATCTTCGCAGTTCTTCTTTGTATAGGACTAATGAAGCCACTGTGTGGCGATACGTTTCCTCAATAAAGATACCCAAGAGTTGCACATGTGTCTAATTTACCAAGTCTCTGACGGAAGGAGTGGTCATGGTAGACAAGAGAGTTGCTTCCTGAGAGGGGTCTGTCTGAGATTGGTGACCAGTTCTCCTCCAGGTGAAGTTAGGAACCTAGGTTCCTCAGTGGTGACGTCGTTGGTAGAGTTGAGTATATTCTTAGGACACCTAATCAAAAATCTGCCTAAAATGGTAGGTAACATAAATTCTGCTTATCTCAAACGCTCCTGGGACCTCCTTCCAACAAGCATCACAAACATCAACGGTGAGAATAAGCATACAACATCATTTAATGTCACTTCACTCTGCGTTGATGTTCCTACTGATGCCGTCAATGATGTACTCAATCGTAGGCATACTGATGACATCAACTTGCTTCTACATAACCATGACTTCATAACACTAATCCAGCTGGGCATTAATCTCAACTTACTTATATATGGAACCCAGTTTTTTTGAGATAGTGTTCTGGCCTCTCTCTCTAAGAAATCCTCTAAGTGCTGCCTTGGCAAACATTTTTCTAGAACATTCAGAATCTGAAGGTTTTCACAGCATCATTCCTAATACAGTCACATGGTTACATATCCCAAAAGACTCAATGTCAACAACTCTCAAAATCACTCTTCAACTAGAAAACGAAGACAGATTTACATTGCCTGGCGGCGTTCCATGCAGGTCACCCAACACCCTGTCTTTCATAGTCTGCACTCTAAGGCACTCGCACCGGGAAAAAGTGCCTTCACATCTTACACTTCCCTCTCTACTGTATACAAGATCAGTCACAGAGCCATGATTCTGTGCCACGCTGGTTCCTTACTGCTACCTGACATGGTAATCAGGTGACCTGACACCTTCACCTGATCTTCACCAGTGACCTGCTCTTTTCACTCTATGTTTACAGTGAGGAGAGCAGGTAACATTTACAGTGACCAGGGTCTCAGGACCAAGATCCTGAGGGCATGCACTTGTGTTCTTTCATCCATCTAGTACCTGTGTGTTACCTGTACAGGTCATGTACAGTACCCCTGTAAGAGCTGTTTAGGAAGTGTACAGAACCTATACTGTTATATCTGTCTCCTTCATGTACTAGAGTAACGCTAATTCCTAGGTCTTCCCCTCCCCTTGTTCAGCCAGTTTTCCCCTCAAGTTATTCACTGCCTCCTCGTCCTCCTGCTTCTTCTCCTTCTCGTCTTCCTGCTTCTCCTCCTCGTCGTCGTCCTCCTCCTCCTCGGTCTCTCCCCCACCACCTCCGCCTCATCTCTTGTGTACTAATTACCTCATCAATCACTGCCGTTTAGCCGGTGTCTCTCCCACGACTAATTACTCTAAATAGACTCAGCTGATCACCCTCTCAGCACCACTCCTAGCACCCTTCCCAGCACCCCTCCTAGCACCCTTCCCAGCACCCCTTTTACCACCCCTCTTAGCACGCCTTGTACCCCTCTTAGTACCACTGACAGCACCCCTTCTAGCACTCCCAGCACCATTCCTAGCACCCTAGCACTCCTCCTAGCATATCAATACCCCCTAGCACCCCCAGCAGACTGATGTTCACCGCCTCTCACAATACTCCAGTCACTACAGTCCGTGAGGATGCACCAGTCACTGCCACTCAATGTAACTGAATAACTGCAGCTGACTGGCCCAAATGCACCTCCATTAATCCCTCTAAGTCATTCTCATCTGAGAAAAATTTTCCCTCACAGAGCAATGGGGTCAAAGGCTCCCAGAAACGGGTTGACAGCGAGATTAATACTCGCTACGCTAATTACTCTGTTGGACAGAGTTGCTAGCCAAGCTTAATCACCCCTGCTAGGAGTCTTCTAATCACCTTGGCTTCTAGTAAAGACCTTGCACATGCTACCAACAGCCAAACTAAATTCTAGCTAATCACCCTGGCTTCTAGCATGAGTGTTTCAAAGATAATTAATTCCTCTCTCTCGCTCCCTCTCTCGTTATATATATATATATATATATATATATATATATATATATATATATATATATATATATATATATATATATATATATATATATATATATATATATATATATATATATATATATATATATATATATATATATATAGCTAAACTTTCTTTAACCTAGTTTTTGTAGTCTCCTGGATACCTGGATACCTGGATACCTGGATACCTGGATACCTGGATACCTGGATACCTGGATACCTGGATACCTGGATACCTGGATACCTGGATACCTGGATACCTGGATACTGTGAGATAAAAAAATAATTCTTCCATTTTTAATTTTTTAATATTATTTTTTTCATCCTTGTGTTCCAGAGAAAGTTCTTTTCATCGTTGTCTTCGAGAGAAAGTTTTTCTTATCATTGTCTTCCAGAGAAAGTTCTTCCTCAGTTTTAATAATTGTTGTCCTCTGCAGGAGAGAGTTCTGCAGCGATGCAACATTCAACAAACACTTCGTGCGCCCCCACCACTATCTTCAGCACCACTATCCACACCCTAGCAGTCCTAGCAACACTGACAGCTGTCCTAGCCTCCTGGTGCTAGCTTACAGCTTTCTTAGCCACAGTGGCTAGGACATTGAGCCTTGTGTACGTGTGTGTGTTGGGGGATTTGTTGCGTGTAAGTTCAGAACTTTACGATGCTAAGCATCATGGGAACCTGGGTTCTAGTTCAGGGTCTTCTGGGTTTTAAAAGGTCAAGGTGTAGGATGTGGGATTTTTAAGTTCAAGGTTAAAGGCTCCGGTGACTGGATGGTGGGTACTGGAGCCTACGTGGGAACGACGCCTGTGAACGACACGTGTGAACGACACCTGTGAACTACACCTGGGAACGACACCTGGGTACGACACGTGGGAACGATACCTAGGAACGACACCTGGGAACGACACCTGGGAACGACACCTGGGAACGACACCTGGGTACGACACGTGTGAGCGACACCTGTGAACTACACCTGGGAAAGACACCTGGAAACGACACTTGGGAACGTCACCTGGGAACGACACCTGGGAACGACACCTGGGAACGACACCTGGGAACGACACCTGGGAACGACACCTGGGAACGACACCTGGGAACGACACCTGGGAACGACACCTGGGAATGACACCTGGGAACGAAGATAACAACTCTCATTGCTAAACTATGGAACTGATATCTGTATTATACACGATGTATTGTTTGTATATCTTGAATGCACAAGGTATATCTTGTATGCACAAGGTATATCTTGTATGCACTAGGTATATCTTGTATGCACTAGGTATATCTTGTATGCACCAGGTATATCTTGTATGCACCAGGTATATCTTGCATGCTCCAGGTATATCTTATATGCACCAGGTATATCTTGCATGCTCCAGGTATATCTTATATGCACCAGGTATATCTTGTATGCACTAGGTATATCTTGTATGCACTAGGTATATCTTGTATGCACTAGGTATATCTTGTATGCACAAGGTATATCTTGTATGCACTAGGTATATCTTGTATGCACTAGGTATATCTTGTATGCACCAGGTATATCTTGTATGCACCAGGTATATCTTGCATGCTCCAGGTATATCTTATATGCACCAGGTATATCTTGTATGCACTAGGTATGTCGTGTATGCACCAGGTATATCTTGTATGGACCAGGTATATCTTGTATGCATTAGGTATATCTTGTATGAACCAGGTATTTCTTGTATGCACCAGGTATATCTTGTATACACTAGGTATATCTTGTATGCACCAGGTATATCTTGTATGCACTAGGTATATCTTGTATGCACCAGGTATATCTTGTATGCACCAGGTATATCTTGTATGCACCAGGTATATCTTGTATGCACTAGGTATATCTTGTATGCACCAGGTATATCTTGTATGCACTAGGTATATCTTGTATGCACCAGGTATATTTTGTATGCACCAGGTATATCTTGTATGCACCAGGTATATCTTGTATGCACCAGGTATATCTTGTATGCACCAGGTATATCTTGTATGCACTAGGTATATCTTGTATGCACCAGGTATATCTTGTATGCACCAGGTATATCTTGTATGCACTAGGTATATCTTGTATGCACCAGGTATTTCTTGTATGCACCAGGTATATCTTGTATGCACTAGGTATATCTTGAATGCACCAGGTATATCTTGTATGCACTAGGTATATCTTGTATGCACCAGGTATATCTTGTATGCACCAGGTATATCTTGTATGCATTAGGTATATCTTGTATGCACCAGGTATATCTTGTGTGCACCAGGTATATCTTGTATGCACCAGGTATATCTTGTATGCACCAGGTATATCTTGTATGCACCAGTTATATCTTGTATGCACCAGGTATATCTTGTATGCACCAGATATATCTTGCATGCACCAGGTATATCTTGTATGCACCAGGTATATCTTGTATGCACCAGGTATATCTTGTATGCACCAGGTATATCTTGTATGCACCAGGTATATCTTGTATGCACCAGGTATATCTTGTATGCACCAGGTATATCTTGTATGCACCAGGTATATCTTGTATGCACCAGGTATATCTTGTATGCACCAGGTATATCTTGTATGCACTAGGTATATCTCGTATGCACCAGGTATATCTTGTATGCACCAGGTATACCTTGTATGCACCAGGTATATATTGTATGCACCAGGTATATCTTGTATGCACCTGGTATAACTTGTATGCACCAGGTATATCTTGCATGCACCAGGTATATCTTGTATGCACCAGGTATATCTTGTATGCACCTGGTATAACTTGTATGCACCAGGTATATCTTGTATGCACCAGGTATATCTTGTATGCACCAGGTATATCTTGTATGCACCAGGTATGTCTTGTATGCACCAGGTATATCTTGTATGCACCAGATATATCTTGTATGCACCAGGTATATCTTGTATGCACCAGGTATATCTTGTATGCACCAGGTATATCTTGTATGCACCAGGTATATCTTGTATGCACCTGGTATAACTTGTATGCACCAGGTATATCTTGTATGCACCAGGTATATCTTGTATGCACCAGGTATATCTTGTATGCACCAGGTATGTCTTGTATGCACCAGGTATATCTTGTATGACACCAGATATATCTTGTATGCACCAGGTATATCTTGTATGCACCAGGTATATCTTGTATGCACCAGGTAATCTTGTATGCACCAGGTATATCTTGTATGCACCAGGTATATCTTGTATGCACCAGGTATATCTTGTATGCACCAGGTATATCTTGTATGCACCAGGTATATCTTGTATGCACCAGGTATATCTTGTATGCACCAGGTATATACGTATATATGAGTAAATTTAAACACTGATAAAATATTTTCTAACTCTCAGAAATTTGATTCGTTTTTGGGACTTGTATTGTTAGTATAATACAAGGTACATGTACTCACAGGTACATGTACTCACAGGTACATGTACTCACAGGTACATATACTCACAGGTACATGTACTCACAGGTACATGTACTCACAGGTACATGTACTCACAGGTACATGTACTCACAGGTACATGTACTCACAGGTACATGTACTCACAGGTACATGTACTCACAGGTACATGTACTCACAGGTACATGTACTCACAGGTACATGTACTCACAGGTACATGTACTCACAGGTACATGTACTCACAGGTACATATTCTCACAGGTACATGTACTCACAGGTACATGTACTCACAGGTACATGTACTCACAGGTACATGTACTCACAGGTACATGTACTCACAGGTACATGTACTCACAGGTACATGTACTCACAGGTACATGTACTCACAAGTACATGTACTCACAGGTACATGTACTCACAGGTACATGTACTCACAGGTACATGTACTCACAGGTACCTGTACTCACAGGTACATGTACTCACAGGTACATGTACTCACAGGTACATGTACTCACAGGTACATGTACTCACAGGTACATGTACTCACAGGTACATGTACTCACAGGTACATGTACTCACAGGTACATGTACTCACAGTACATGTACTCACAGGTACATGTACTCACAGGTACATGTACTCACAGGTACATGTACTCACAGGTACATGTACTCACAGGTACATGTACTCACAGGTACCTGTACTCACAGGTACATGTACTCACAGGTACATGTACTCACAGGTACATGTACTCACAGGTACATGTACTCACAGGTACATGTACTCACAGGTACATGTAACTCACAGGTACATGTACTCACAGGTACATGTACTCACAGGTACATATACTCACAGGTACATGTACTCACAGGTACATGTACTCACAGGTACATATACTCACAGGTACATGTACTCACAGGTACATGTACTCACAGGTACATGTACCACAGGTACATGTACTCACAGGTACATTGTACTCACAGGTACATGTACTCACAGGTACAATACTCACAGGTACATGTACTCACATGTACATGTACTCACAGGTACATGTACTCACAGGTACATGTACTCACAGGTACATGTACTCACAGGTACATGTACTCACAGGTACATGTATTCACAGGTACATGTACTCACAGGTACATGTACTCACAGGTACATATACTCACAGGTACATGTACTCACAGGTACATGTACTCACAGCTCCAAAGATTCACTTTCATCTAATCCATGAGGGCCTTGTGAACCAGTCTTTTGTGTGAGGGCATTGTGTGAGTGTGTGTGTGTGTGTGTGAGTGTGTGTGTGAGTGTGTGTGTGTGTGTGTGAGTGTGTGTGTGTGTGTGTGTGTGTGTGTGTGTGTGTGTGTGAGTGTGTGTGTGTGTGTGTGTGTGTGTGTGTGTGTGTGTGTATGTGTGTGTGTGTGTGTGTGTGTGTGTGTGTATGTGTGTGTGTGTGTGTGTGTGTGTGTGTGTGTGTGTGTGTGTGTGTGTGTGTGTGTGTGTGTGTGTGTGTGTGTACTCACCTAGTTGTACTCACCTAGTTGAGGTTGCAGGGGTCGAGTCCATGCTCCTGGCCCCGCCTCTTCACTGGTCGCTACTAGGTCACTCTCCCTGAACCATGAGCTTTATCGTACCTCTGCTTAAAGCTATGTATGGATCCTGTCTCCACTACATCGCTTCCTAAACTATTCCACTTCCTGACTACTCTGTGGCTGAAGAAATTCTTCCTAACATCCCTTTGATTCATCTGTGTCTTCAACTTCCAACTGTGTCACAGGTGTGTGTGTGTGTGTGTGTGTGTGTGTGTGTGTGTGTGTGTGTACGTGTTTATCTTTGAGTGTTCATCAAGGGTTGTAGCTACACACACACACACACACATGCATGCAGGGCAAAGCTCCTGATCATGGGTGACTTTAACCACAAGGAGATAGATTGGGAGAACTTGGACCCACATGGGGGCCAAGATACTTGGAGGGCTAAGATGATGGAGGTGGTACTGGAGAACTTCATGTACCAACACGTAAGGGAAAACTACAAGAGAGAGAGGAGAGGATGAACCAGCAAGGCTGGACTTAGTATTCACCTTCAGTAGTGCAGATATCGAGGACATCACATATGAAAGACCCCTTGGGCCAGTGACCATGTGGTTGTAAGCTTCGAATACACAGTAGAGCTACAAGTGGAGGGAGAAGCAGGAAGGCCAGGACGAATGAAGCCAAACTACAAGAAAGGGGACTACACAGGAATGAGAACTACCTGAACGGGGTTCTGGGAAAGGGAACGGAAGGGGGCGAATGAAAAAATTTACAAAAAAAGAAAGGGAGGAATTTGCCCCGGGTTTCGGGGAAAAAATGAAAAAAGGGGGATGGGGAGGAAAAAATGAAGGGGGGAAAAAAGTTGCAGGGAAAGGAAAAAAAATTTAAAAGGGCAAGGACCCAGGAAAAAAATGAGGCAAAAAAATTGCAAGAAAGAAGGGGGGCCCCAAAGACAAAAAAAAACTAGACGAAAGAAATTGCCCCAAAAAAGGGAAGACAAAGAAAAACAACACAA